TAAATAAATAAATAAGTAAAACAACCCACAAGTCTAGAAAATTGTTTAGGATGAACCTATTTCTAGTTGGGTTTTTTTATTTTTAAGGCTAGATAGTTTATTTAGTTATACTTACATTAAACTTATCTTTTACAAGAAAATTATTTTTTCTGTTAAACAACATAAATTAAGAAATACTCACCAAGTGCACTAACTAACTAATAACTTTGTATGATTTCTTTTCAAACTATAACAAAAACTAACCTAAAAAAACGCTCTTTCCATCTATGAAAACTAAACACGCATAACAACCACAAATATATATTTATAAAGCCCGAAGGAAACTTTCTACTGATTTTTTTTTTATGCTAAACTAATGTACTAAAAAAAACAATCCAAAAACGAAAACAAAAACATAACAAAACTAACTAAACGCTCCTTTAAACTTTTTCCCTCTTGCAATTGTTTACTCTTTTTCTCCTTTACGCCTTATGTAATATATGTATTTTACATAATCTGTGTAAAATATATATAGTGCATATGCTGTCTATGTATGTGTATTTCTCTTACTCTACACACCATTTGAAATCTCACTATCACACGCTTCGCACATACACGACTTACTATGACTCTTTCTCTCGCTCTCTATCTGTTTACATCTCTATTTTCTAATTATATTAGTACTTACTGTTACATGAATACTCGTATACGAACTGCATTACAGACCTCAATAAAAATTTTTTGTTTTGGTATTTTCATTGAATGCTTCATGCCGCGAGCAGAAGAATTATGTTTTATGTTCTAACTGCCGCCCAAACCCCTCTGCCTTCACCTGCTGCATTGCATTTTGAGTGACGCATTTTTAGCAATAACTTGATCAAACAAATTTTACAATATTCATTTAGAACAATTACATATACATATGTATACATATATATTTGGCTACCGTACAGTTATCAGTTGCACTCAAAAACGTAACTTTACGAAAATTGCGCTATGTTAGTTAACATACGCATCTATGCAAAATACATATACATATACCAGTAAAAATACATATAAAATTTGTAGTCTACTCTACAAAGTATGCTTATTTATTGCTGTTTCCATACTCAATTTCTTTTTACAGAACTGAAAAATCAAATAGAAACGCAAGTAAATGAGCTAAAAACTCAAATAGAGGGAAAATGTGTCATGCAGTGATATGTCAGTCATCATGAAAGATATTTATATCAATAATAATAAAAAATTATTCAAATAATAATAACTGAACGAGTTAAAACGAAACATTTATAAAATACAATTGATTTCTAACACTTGAATTTGTTGATAATGCAAATAATATAAATATTATGTTCCAAAAACGTTCTGCGTAATATTTGAATATATATATATATATAACACAGTAACTCGGAAAAAATTATATAAACTGCAAAATAATACAAAAATTTTAATAACAAAATAAAAGTACCGAAATGATAATGACTAAAACAATATACATTCGTTTGAATGTATGAAAAACAGGACGGTGAAATCCTATTGAATTTTAAAAGTAGTTAAAACATAAACTAAATTATGTATAAATGAAATATATAGTAAACGCCTTTAATTCAAATCACTTTTGCTTCGATGATAATGTAATATACTCAATGCCCCCAAAACTATAAAAAAGAAAAAGAAAAACAAACAAAAAAAAGTAAGAGAAACAAAAAGAATACATAACCGTTGTTTAGTTGATAGCGATAAAAATAACAGAAACGATATCGATATATAGTCGTTATCGTAACTAAAACATAACTGCGATTGGTGCGACAGAGACAGAGTCAGAAAACAGTTATAATGGAGAGGTTGCTGAATCATGTCGAACCGTCGAAATACGTTGCTGAAGAATCTTTTTTTGGACTTAAATGAAACATAATTACATAAACATGCATCCCTATATATACACGAATCTCTATGGAAACTGGATATGATCTAGCATACATTTTTAACACTCTCGAACTTTTTCTGTCGGCGATAAATGATATATTTAGATATATACTTCCAAAGAAATTAAAATTAAACTTTCCCAAATGTGGACTACAAAATCAACGTTGGTTTTTGAACTGATTGAAGAAATGAGAATGATGAACCAAACCCAAGATCTCATGATCGTTTTGTTTTTTAAAAGTCTCCTTTAACAACTGTAACATTTTGTTTCTTTTCTATACAAATGATAAATACATACACACAACAAACTGAGAACATTCTAAGCTATTTGAGATACTTACTGAACATACTGATTGAAGCTTCTAAAATGTAAGTAAAACCAACTCCTATACCTAGAATTAAAACTATACATTAAATATTTTTTAAACTTTCAGTTTCTTAACTAAAACTTATATATATTTATTAAGTTACAAAATAATCAAATAGGACATACTGTATGATAAACAGAAAACAAAAAATAGAAAATTAGATAAAACTTTATATTGTAGGCATTTAGCCCAGGACAATAGTTCTTAAGAAAACGCTAGGCAGTTCGAGAGCATAATGCTGTGATACATTTAGCATCCATTTTGTCACGTCCCCTTTTAAAAAAGTAATAATAATAAATATTAAAAAATGATGCATGCTTTAAAGCGCAAACCTTAATATAACCACATACTTAATACGTAATTACATAATACATGCAGACAATGCTAGCGATTAAAGACGGAAATTTATATAAACTTATATATTTTATATACATATAACTCTGTTGTCTGATCTGACTCTCTAATATTTGGGTCTCAAGGGTAGGTACTTGGGTACATCCCATTCAATATCCACAAACATATATACTACAAATATATATACAAAAAAAAACATTTGAATTGTACATAATACGATGTTTCACGCAATAACAAAACAATACCCTGGTACAGAATGCTATGCATGAATGTACATATTTGAGCTATGCACATAAAGGAGTCAAGTATATATCAATTACATGTGAAATTGTAGTATATTGTTAATCGATTAATAAGCGATTCAACACTCGTATGTCTGCTAACAATATATATATATATATA